GGCGGACGCCTGGGCCCCTCCCGCGGGGCGCAGCGCCGGGTGCGGCCCCGCCGCCCCGACCATGTGCGGCCGCTCCCGAGTGCCCCGGACCCGCTCCCGGCCCTCTCTGCGCCTCCGTCCCGGCCATTCGTTTCCCCCGGGGCCTCCCGCCCGTACCCCTGTGCCCCCGCGCCTCCCGCCCCCGCGGAATCCCGGGTCCTCGCGGCCACATCCTGATTCTCCCGCGCGTCCCGGCCCCGCTGCCCCGCTCCCGCCGGTACCTCCCACCTTCGCCCCGTCCATGCCCCGGTGCCCCCGGTGCGTCCTAGAATCCCCCATGAAGAGCCCGTCCCCTCGGACGTCCCAGACCCGCTGGCACGAGACCCCCCCGTCCGTGTCCCAGTGGCTCCGGTGCGTCCTGAGCCGCCGTCACGGGCCCCCCGTCCGTGCCCCGGTGGCCGCGCGCGCCGGCGCCGGTGCCCTCACCAGTTGGTGGCCGCCCGTGGGTTGCTCACGTCCTCCTTGGCCGCCATCAGCGCCAGCCGGTGCCGGTCCAGCCCCGGGGCCCCCATGGCTGCGCCCTGCACGGCGCCGCTGCCGCCGCCGAGCTCTGCCGCGGCCCGGCCCCGCCTCCGCCGCCGCCGCCAGCGCGGGGAGGGACCGGGGGCACCGGGCGGGACCGGGCGCCGCGCCAGCCCCACGCGTCGCCGCCGCCGGGCGCTCGGACGCCTGGGCCCCCTGCCGGGGGGGAAGGGAGGGGAGAATGAGCTCCCTTGTCACCCTTCTGGGAGGAGACCTGGACATCGGGGCACCCTGTGCCCCGCTCGGCGCCCACCTCGGTGCTGATCCCGGGGGGACTTGGGTGTCCGGGCACCTTGACAGTCCCTACAGCCCCGGGCTCCTGGAGGCCTCCAGGCACGGACCCCCGTGGGAGGCTGCGGGGCCTGGCCTGAGCACTGGGAGTCCTGGGAGCCCCAGTAGCGCCCACCAGGTCGGGGACAGCGAGGTCCCCACACAGGGATGCGGGTGCAGCTTGCTGGGCATGGGGCAGAGCCATGTGGGACTGCTCAGGATTCCCGGCTCTGTGGGCTTGCCTCGGGCACCCTGTTCCGGGCAGGTGTCCTTGGGGCTCCGAGGTGGGCTTCTTAGAGGTTCCCGGCTCCAGGTGGGCATCCCCACAGTGCGCAGACAGGTCAGGACACCCCACTGCGGGTGGCAGCCTGGGGTGGTTGCTGCCCGGTGCTGTGCTCAAGGGCCAGGGCAGGGGCTGGGTACCCAGTGACGCCCGTGTCCCGGCCCTGCACAGCAGCGCAGCCCGTTCCCTTATTTGGTCACTGCAGCCTCCAAATCCCAAAGCCCCAGAGAGGGAAAAAATTCGCAGTGTGGAGTGGCGGCTGGCTGCAAAAATGCAGGGTCAGCGCCCGCCGCCACCGCCGCTGCTGCTGCTGCCGCTGCTGCTGCTGCCGCTGCTGCAGCTGCTGCCGCCACTGCCACTGCCGCTGCCGCTGCCGCTGCCGCTGCCGCTGCGCAGGCGGTCAGGCCGGGTACCCAGTGCCGGGCCCTGCGGCCGTCGGCCCCGTTAGCTGCGGGGGCAGAAGCGGCTGTGCAGGCAATTCCAGCCTGGCAACTTGGCCTGTGGCCCGGAGCAGGGCAGGATGGGGATCCCCAGGGCCACAGACGCCCTGTCCTGCCGGTGTGACGCAGGGTGGCCCTGCAGGACGCCCTGCGGGAAGGGCTGGGTGCTCCCTGCTCCAGGTGCCCGGGGCACTGCCGCCCTCTGCACGTTTCCACAGGGCCCTGCGGGCCTCGTGCTCGGCCCTTGCACAGGCCGCCGTGTCCCTCGTGCAGGGCGCTGCCGCCCTCGTGCATGCGCTTGCACGGGACACCGCTGCCTGGTGCCCGGCCCTCGCACAGGAGTGGACCTCACGGCTCTCGTGCAAGGCCTTCGCACGGGCTGCTGCCCCTGGACCTGTGCCCGACTGGGGTTCCCGGGCGCTGGGAGGGCCCCAAGTCTCGGCAGCAGGGCCGGGCTGCCCCGCAGCTCCGGGCAGGGAGGCGGCACCGCCCGGCACCCGCCGAACCGGCCGGGCTGGCGCTGAACCGCGGTGCCCGCGGCAGCGGCGGTGACGACGTGACCTGGCCGGTTCCCTGCCCCAGCCCGTGTGCGCCGTGCAGCGGGTGCAGCGCTGGGGTCGCATGCGGTGCCGGGGCGCAGGACAACACGGTGCCAGGTGCTGCGTGTCGGCTGCTGCCACTGCACTTTGTGCAGAGCGGAGCACGGCGCTGAGGGCACAGGCCAGCAGGCCACGTGCAGCGCCGTGTGCCGGGACAGTGCGGTGCCACGTGCCGGGACGGGGCAGTGCTGCACACTGGGTGCAGCGCTGTGTGCCGGGAGGGTGCAGCATCGTGTACCAGGACAGTGCAGTGCTGCATGCTGGCATGGTGCAGTGCCACATGCTGGGTGCCGCACTGTGTGCCGGGACCAGGCACTGGGGTGTGGGTGCAGTGCAGCACTAAGGACATGCAGTGTGCCATGCACAGTGCAGGTGCCTGCCCCACTGCAGCATGTCCCTGTGCCACGGGTGTCCTGGTGCCACGGGTAGCACCGGGATGTGCTCACACCAGCCTGTCCCTGGTGCCCCCGCTCCGCACTGCTCCGTGTGGGAGCCTCAGGTGCCGGTACTCCCGGTGCCCCGGTGTGCTCAGGGTCCCCGGTAACGCCGGTACTCCCGGTGCCCGGTGTGCTCAGTGTCCCCGGTAACGCCGGTACTCCCGGTGCCCGGTGTGCTCACTGCGCCCGGTAACGCCGGTATTCCCGGTGCCCGGTGTGCTCAGGGTCCCCGGTAACGCCGGCACTCCTGGTGCCCGGTGTGCTCAGGGTCCCCGGTAACGCCGGCACTCCCGGTGCCCGGTGTGCTCAGTGTCCCCGGTAATGCCGGCACTCCCGGTGCCCGGTGTGCTCAGTGTCCCCGGTGTGCCCAGCACTCCCGGTGCCCGGTGTGCTCAGTGCCCCCGGTAACGCCGGCACTCCCGGTGCCCGGTGTGCTCAGGGTCCCCGGT